CCAGGCCTTAAGCTAAGTTTTCGATTATCCTAGGTTTTTCTAAGTTAAGTGTTAAAAATGCTTAGAAGCTTCAGGGATTTTTAGGGGAAGAATAGAAGCTATAAAGGAAGGCCCCAAATCTCTGCTGAAGAGCACATGGTATGAGAACTACCCTTTAAAGCTTTTTACCAGACTTGACCACTAGAAGGAGCTGGGCCACTGACTATCCCGGGTCTCTTTTTTTCTGTATGTGTGTGGGGGCGGGACTGTAAATGTAGAGAGGGTGAGCCCTAGTGGAAACGGGGCACTCTTCCTGTCACTCAAGATATATTTTGTTCCTTCATTATTTTGGCCTAGAGTGTGAAGAAATGGCGGTCCCCCCAAGGAGCAGGCCAAAAAGGTCAAGCCAGGGGCCTTTAGTGTATCTCCTTGAGCTGCACCCAGCTCCTGGTGACTTTAGCCTCGGCAATCACAAGAGGCTGAAGGAGGAGGCAGTGTCTGTCCGCAGCTGCTCTGGGCAGACGTGTGCAGGGACAGCTGACAGACAAGCCAGCAGGGTGGGGCCATGGCTGCCTGAAGCTCTGCGGGTTGTTATTATTTTTTGCTTTTTCTTTTTTTCCCCCAGGAAATTCTCCACTGTTCTCCAAGGACAGAGGCAACCATGAAAATGTCTAAACCTAAATCAAAATGTATGCTAAAAGTCAGCCTTACTTTTGGGTGGATGGCCCCAAGTCTCTTGAGGACATCATAGCAAAATTCTGAAGCGTTCAGTAGGTGTTTCTATACCGACGCTCGTTTCCAAGAAGTGCCTGAGAAGGCATCTCCCTGCAAACCACTGCCCAAGCATTTCCTTCATCTTAATCTGAAGAATAGCTAAGGATTTTGTCTTAAGTTCCATTCGTTTCTTACATTGCTTAAAGTCTTTATGGCCAAAAGGACAAGGCTAGAGCATTTGGTGTGAATTCCTAATAAAAAACAACCCCAAACATCAGTAATGAGTTTAATCCCCTGCCATCCCTTTATTCAGTCTTGCTTCTAGGAGCTTTGAGTGATATAGTCTCTTTGGTCACTGGGAATAGTGGGGGACATCATGATATGGGTAATTCTCAACAGAAGGGAATCTCAAAAGAGTAAGTGGCTAGTTTGACAGGAAGCCAGTCCATGAGGAAGATTCCAGCCTCACACTTTTTTTTTTTTTTTTTTTTTTTTTTTTT